TTGTGCTGGAGGTATTATTCGGAATGAAAGAGGTGATATTGTCATAGCTTTTGCTGAGGAACTCGGTGAGGGTACTAATAATGGACCTGAGCTATTAGCATTATCATATGGGCTTCGACATGCTAAAAGATTAGGGATCAACCATCTCGAAGTGGAGATTGATTCAGTGATTATCGTTAATTGGTTAAGGATGAAGTTTTGTGGTATTTGGTATCTAGAAGATAACTGGGAAGAAATACAATACCCACTGTCCACAATCTCTTATAGAGTTCAACACATATATCGGGAGGACAACTCGTTAGCTGATATCCTGTCGAAATTGGGAGCGTCTTATGTTTCAAAGATCTAGATGGACTCTATCACAATCCCATCATCGTTTAGAGGAGCTTTGCATACGAATAAACTGAGTATCCCCAATTTGCGAGGCTTTTCTCCTCATAATTTATCTTTAAAAATTCCAATATTGTTTTAGATTACAAAGAGTTTGGCTTACTTTGATTTGGATTGTAAATTGCAAATGTAACTATAATATTTCTTCGCCACAAGTAAGGTTTATCAATGAAAGAATAATGTGTTTTAAAAAATAAATAAATAAACAAATAAATTTTTTTTTAACACACACACTGAATTGATCTCATAAGTATCGATGCTAAGCACCATGTGACATATCACACCACAATAGGTGGAAATCACAAAACTCGTGTACGAGAACTTCACACCATTGTACTAAACCCATATACATTATGTTTTAAATTAAAGCCTTTAAAAGTGTGTTGAATTCTACAAAAATCTATAATAAATTTAAATTAAAAGTCTATAAACGTTTATGAAAGACTTCCATTTATTTTATACAAATCTATAAAAGTTTATGAAATCCACAAAAATCATCACTTAAAGTAATCTATTAAAATCTTGAAAAGTCCAAATTAAGCCCCTGTCCAAAAATGTTCCCCACTTTTGAATAAATACACAGCTTAAATAAAACTTTCAAAACAATAATAGACATAAAGATGCTTTTTTGTGACTTCAGTTAAAAACCATAACATTGATAAAAACAAACTTCCAGCTGCCAGTCACCACTAATTTTGCATTCATTCGTTGCTGTTCACCGGCCATCCCTTTCTGGAACACATATGAAAAATCAAAGAAAGGGTATTTATTCACTTTTACAGATTTACTTTAGTCTTTCTCCCAAGATGTGCATAGCTCGAGGCATTATGCAATTAATTGCATTCTAAATAACGTTTGGGTTTTCATTATTTGGTTTATATTGTTTGCTTCCGCAATTGGTATTGAAAGGTATAACAACTTTCAAGTATTAGACCTTTGCTCTGCCATGGCATGCTCAATTTCTCTTATTATTCTGTTCAGGATTAGCCTTTTCGTTGCTGATTTATGGGAATGTTATGGCTATTTCCCTTAATGAGTAAAATAAAACATGTTTTTTTTTCAATTTAGTCCCTACACCAGTAAAACACTTTCGTTTGGAAAATAGTGAATATTGTTTTGATGATCCATAGAAGACTTTGGCACGAGTATAACGCTGCAGAAAAACCTTGTTAAACAACATAAGTAAATGGTACAAAACAAAGAAGGAAACCAAATAAAGTATTGGAACATAAGGTCTGACGCAAGTGTTTAATACTTTGTCTTTAAGAGAAATTTGCCCCTCAACGGTACTAATGGAGGTATGACAATCGTCTCCTAAGATACAATGAAAACCCCTTGTAGTAGAAGCACTTCAAACTACAAGGCCAAGGCGAACCAATTCAGAATTTCCTCTCTATACTTTCAAATATTTTATATGCAAGAAAGGGATGATTTTGTAAGAGAATTTGATGCAAGAATCATATAGAATAATATGGGATTACCTAATGATATCCAAGGGGTCCAATTTATAAGATGAGGGGTTGTGCCGAGAGAAAAGCCCCAAAAACCAGCATCTTTCTTTAAGGGTTACAGTCCTTTGAGGCGTTCGCCTAGAGCCCATGTGGTGCTCAAGCACTATTGATAGGGACCTAGCGCTCGCCTAGTGCTAGAAGGCACTCAAGCACCAGTCATATGTGCTGAATTCCTTATTTTTTTTCTTCCAAATTTGGACCACAATTTTTCGTTCATCCGAAATTTATTTTGAGATTCCAAATATATTACGATTATCTATTCGATGAGTAGAATAAGTTAATCTAATTATTTTTTGTAATTTGGCTATCGGATCAAGTCCAAATAATTGGCCAAATTTGATACAAAATCAGTGTTTCAAGGTTTTACATAACCAAGTTCCAATAACCTTCCACATGAACTAAAATTCCAATTATGCAAATGATAATGTTGACATTAATAGAGAAATAACTGGAAAAACATTGCATCAAGAGAGGTAGCTTCTGGTTTTAAATCTTTCTTAGTGATATACTATCCTATTTACTTGACTAATTGGTAAATGCGGTGTCTTGAACCATTTAGACGTCGGTGTAAAAAAAAAGATTAAGAGTATTATGCCATACTCCACTTGATTTAGTCAAGATATAGGGATGATTAAAAGCGTAATTTAACCTTTTAACACTCTACAGAAAGCAGTTCGATTATCATAAAAATGAGTTGGAATTATTTCCTAAGTGCTTCATGGAGTTTTCATAACTTAGTTGTCTATTGAACCAAGATCTTAGAGACTTCAGTCAACAAGGTTGGGTTACAATTACAAAGACTTTTATATAGTAGGCTTTGACCCCTTTCCTTTCTTTTGATCTCTTGGTAAGACTTTCGTAAGCAGATTCGCAATGCTCTCTTTTGATTTCACATAATCAATGAAAATAATACTCTTCAAGATCAATTGCTTAATGGTATTGTATCTACAATACATATGTCTAGGCCATTATACATACTATTTTGTGCCCTTTCAATATTCGATTGACTATCACAATGTATACTTATGGTAGATACCAACCTAAGTCAACATAGAATGTCCTCCAAAAAGATACGAAGCAATTCTACATTTTCACTAGCTTTGTCTAAAGTAATAAACTCTGATTTCATCATTAATTAGGCAATACAAGTTTGTTTTGTGGACTTCCAAGATACAACAATACCACCAATGGTAAAGGCATAAACATTCTATATTCGATCGAGTGTAGTTCATAATATATATTAGGCTGCCTACTAAGAAGAGTTGACAAACATGAGTGTCCGACATGATACGTGTCAAATATGCTAACACGTAATTCTTTTTAAAATGTTTCTACATGATACGTTGTCAACAGGGTGATTAAGATATTTTTTAGCTTATTTTCGTTTAATAGTCTAAAGTAATAATTTCTTTTACTTATTGTATCATATATATAAATAATTAAATAATAAGTAAAAATCATACTTGGCATTAAATTCATACATGTTTGTTAATAACACAAGTTCAAAAAGTAAAATTTAATTACATCATTCACCTTGAACCTCTGCAACATCTTCATCTCTATCATCCGCAAATACTATCACCTCCAATTTTGGTTCATCTAGAGACAAATTAACAACTTAAAGCACACCGGTATCTTCAAATGTATTTCCATCGATATTCTACATTTTAGTCTTTCCTGAATTCTTTAATTATTCATTGCACAGTCGTAGAACACTATCAGTAATACACTTACATACAACATAGAGGAAGAAAAACATGAGTGAAATACTATTAGTGACAAGAGTAGAAACTGAAAATACTTTCTCTGAACCTCCAATTTTAAAACCAAACCCAGCAATATGGTTTTAGAGCATAAGCACCTTAATTTTCTATCGTGAATTGTGAATTACGAACCTTAGATTGGAAGTATGTCTCTTTGTTCCGCAGGAAAGTAATTAAATAACAACCTCCTTAGAGTGTTGAAGAAGTAGTGGATATGTCTCATGAAAATGTGTTCCTCTCTTTGGTAAAACCAGTACAGCAATTCGCCTGCTGATATCAATACACACAGCGGTTTGTGAAGCTTATTATTATAACTTATATAATATATTCTGCTTAAGCATATTATTATAACCTATTCGAAAGCATGAAATTGCTTAATGCAGTATTTCATCTTTTTCTTTTTTTTTATTTGGATTTAGAATGTCTTCTAACAGACCCCACACATGTAGACTAGATTTATTTTTTTCATCTCAATCGGGACATGCGCTTGCTCTTATCTAAATCTTAGGAGACTAATTTGTTTATTCAAATTATGTCTTCAACAAGTTGTACTTTACAATTATATATTTTAAGGCATCAAAACTTCATTCAGTCTCAGCTATTATAGTGTTACATGTATTGGGAGCTGCAACAATGACAGTTGATACAGGAAGATATCCCAGTCAGCTGAAAGATGACGTTGCATCTCCTGGAGGGACAACTATAGTTGGCGTTCATGAGATGGAGAATACTGATTTTTGGGGAACTTTTATGAATGCAGTTGTCGCGCAGCTGAGAACTTTCTAACAACTAGTTTTTTCGTATTTAATGGATTAGGACTATGGCAGATACCCGTAAACAAAATTATTTCCCAATCTTATTTCCCATGTCCTTGCATTGGTTTTTCCTTTCATAAGATTTTGACATTTCTATCCGTAAAGATCGGTTTGCTGAATTTTGTGTGTGGTCTAGCTGTTCTTTAAATGGACTGAAATGTGAGGCCCAAACTTGAAGGCCTAATTTGGTGATCTAGTAAGGAGAAATCTCTAGAATGTGGAAACCGGCTCTTGAACTGAGACGTGTCTTCTGTTATCAAATGTGCTAAGGCCATTGATGAATCTTGGCCAGAAAGTCTAGCTGAGAATAGGAAAACAAAACAAGATGAACTGGCCTGGAGCACTATGTTTCTGCACTTATCTGGTTCTGTGATTAGGAAAGTAAGATAGACAAAAATTGCTATAGAATTATGGACAGCCTTAGAAAAAGAGTATCTCACTAAATCTTTACCAAATAAATGTTTTCTTTGGAGATAGTCTTTCAATTTTAAGTTTGATCATAATCTTGATACATAAGATATATGGATAGATTTAATAGGATCACACAAGACTTAATAAACTGTGGTGAGAAAATCCTAGATGAGCAAAAGGTAGTTGGTCTACTTAATGTTTTAGGAGATAAGTATAAAGACATAAGAAATGCTCCAGAGTATGGTAGAAGTGACATAACTGTTGAAATAATTCACAATTTTCTTCTGAATAGAGAACTGGAATTTAAATCTGAATACAAAGAGGTGTTCAATGTGGAGGGTGTGTCGCCAAAACAAAGAACACATGTTAAAGGTGTGAGCAACTTTAGTCATTCCAATTATCATAAGGATAAAAATTTTATCAAAAAGAAATGGAGTAATACCAAAGAAAAAGACAAGAAACCTAGTAAAGGAAAGGCAAATAACAAGAAGTGCTTTTATTGTGGAAAAACTAGGCATTTGATTAAGAATTACATTGACAAGGCTAATGACCAAAAGAAATACTCTAATACAAAAAATGCTTCATTGGCAATTGCTCCTAACTATAAAGAGGCAAGAGCCAATATTGGAGTAGCCTATGTGTCAATAACAAAAAATTATGATCAGGACTGGGTCCTAGACTCTGGATGTTTGCCACGCATTTTATGCAACATGATTTATACTGCAAGTGTACGGTGACAAGTTTTGTAATATAATTTTGAAGTTAGAGTATCAAACCCACTGGGATTGTAATTTAATTTCTACCAAGTACTATAATTTGGTAGGTTCTATTTTATCTAGGCAAATGAAACTAAAAATCAATATTGTTAAGTAATCTAACGATGATTTTGGTGACGAATTCAAGGGATGCAAATTATACGAATAAATCAAGATGGAAAAGCCCAGGGAATGATTTCACCATATTCTCGACGATGTTTTTCAAGCTCTATAGCTATTTTCATCAACTTTTTTTCGAATTTATAAGCAAGAACCCTAAATTAATTATATCCCTTCTCTCGAGCACCAAATAGAACTTATTTCTATATTTTAATCCCAATATTTCTATTCCAAATTAAACATATAAAAATTATCAAAGCATCTGATTCTAAAGTGGAATTAGCCTCAAAGATTCACACTTTCTCTCGAAACCTACGAAATATAGGTTATGTTATTTTTAGATCACGCCTAAATTTTCCTCTCTCAAGCTCCAAATTTAAAGCAACTAATCATTCAATTGTTGATCAGGCAATTGAAAGCATTAAGCAAGAATAACACAAATAAATTCCAGAAAAATCAAAGGAAATAACTGTATTGGAATCAAAACATGTCTCAAAAATGGCATATCAAGCACTAGATCTCAAAGTTCATAATTGAATTGATTGACGTGATAAAATACATGATAAAGAACATGGAGAAGAACTAGGGAATAAGAGAAAAAAATTAGTTTCGTTGCGTAAATTCTTCCTCCAGTCCTTGCCAATCTTTTTGCAGTTGCTTTTGTTGATATTTGCCTCTTGAGATTTCCTCTCCTTGGAAGCACCTTTCAGCCGTCCAGAAGAAAAACCCCCCATTTTTTTCGTCCTCCTAGGTTAAGTAGTAGGATATATTTTATTTCCATAAGAGTTTGTATCAAAAAAGGAATATGCTCGATTTTTTTTTTTTTCAAAAAATGACCCTTCACGCGTGGTAAACTTCCATTGTTGCACACCACATACCGCGTCTACTCTTTGCATATGAAAATCAAGCCCGTATGCGCGCGCGCCACTATGAAATGTTTTCATGTGTTGCACTTTGGTCCTTATAGTTCATTTTTCGTTCCTTTTAGTTCATATTTGATATCTTCTTGATCTTTTATCCTCCAATACCATTTAATTGCCTCTAGCTCTTCTTCAATCATCAACATCGAGTCTGAATCAACTTTTGGTACTTTGCAATTTGGTCCCCAAACTTTTGATTAAGCCCAAGTTAATAAATTTCCCACTTTTCTGTCTAATTTCATTGTTTTACCTCGAGTTACCCCTAACAAATGAAATATGTATAAAGTTAAGCATCAATTCATCTTAAATAACAAAAATAGCTCTAGTTTAATGAATGAAATAGTGTATAAAATACACTTATCAATGTTCTTTTCATATGACACCCAATATTGGCTGCCTGACTAACTATTCTAGTCTTGATGAAGGGTCTGTGAAACTTGGGAATGATGAGTCATGTCAATTTAAGGGTATTGGAAATGTGTTGTTGAAACTTCAAAATCGTCATAACATGTTGTTGAAACATACAAGATATGTGCCAGCACTTAGAAGAAACCTCATATCCTAGGGAGTTCTTGATGATGAAAATTATCAAATTGAAATAAAGAATGGTTCTACTAATATAATAAAAAATCAAGAACTTATTGTCAGTTCACCAAAGCTTAATGGAATTTATAGGTGCTTAAATCATTTCACCTAATAATGGTTTGAATCTTGTCACACATCCCGATAAATTAGAATTATGGCATAAAAGGCTTGGCCACCTAAGTGAAAAAAGCTTAAAAACTCTATCATATCAAGGGACATGTGGAAGGATAGTGTTCAAAATTTAACATTTTGTGAATATTGCATAATGGGAAAGCAAGTCAAATTGCCATTTAAGGCAGGGTTGCACAAGTCCCAAAATATCTTTGAATACATACGTTCTAATTTATGGGGACCTATCCCTGTTCTACAGTATCTGGATACATATATTATCTTCTTATCACTGATGATTACTCAAGAAAAACTAGGATTTTCTTATTAAAATCAAAATCTGATACTTTTACAACTTTTAAAGATTGGAATGGGTGCTAATTGAAAATCAGACAGATGAGAAGATAAAAATTTTAAGAACTGACAATGGGCTTGAATTTTGTAATTCAGAATTTGACCAATTTTGTAATAAACAAGGAATTATGTAACATATAACTGTGTGTTATGCTCCTCAACAAAATGGAGTTGTTGAGAGGCTAAATAGAACCATTCTTGAGAGGATTAAATGTATGTTGATTAGCTCTGGCCTTCCAAAAGTTTTTTTGGGAGAGGTAGTAAAAATTGCATGTTATTTGATCAATAGATGTTCTTCCAGTTCACTAAATAATAAAATTCTTGAACGAATCTGGTCAAGCATAATGCCAGACTATTCCTATCTTAGAACTTTTGGATGTGCAGCTTATACACATCACACAGATTCAAAATTGGACCCTAGATCACTAAAGGGTGTGTTCCGATGATATGAAGAAGGAGTTAAAGGATATAGATTATGGTTAAGAGATGAGAGGGGTTTTAAAGTGATAATAAGTAGATCTATAATCTTTAATGAGGATGATTTCTCTTGTCTTAGTGACAAATCTGGAGAAAAATTAGGAAACTATGACTTTATTATCACTGAAATAAACCTGAATAAGGAAACTTTGAATAACCAGCCTCAGTTTGAGGTGGAGCCACAATAAATAGAACCTCAGAATGTGTTTGATGTTGAAATACTGGAAGATGAGCAGCATTTGAAGCCTACACACGACCTGCAGGACTACCTGCTTGCTAGAGATAGAGAAAGGAGGCAAATAAGAACTCCTTCTAGGTATCAGTATGCTGATTTTGTGTCTGTCCCGCATGAATCTGATCTGTTTGACATAGAACCTACCTCTTATGAAGAGGCTATTTCTTCCAAAGAATCCCTTAAGTGGATTGCTGCAATGGAAGATGAGATGAACTATCTACATAAGAATAAAACCTAAATCTTAGTTGAGAAACCCAAAGATTGTAAATTAATTGATTGTAAATGGGTATATAAGATCAACGAAGGTGAGATTAAGACAAATGATAAAAGGTATAAGGCAAGACTTGTAGTTAAAGACTTCCATCGAAGAGAAGGTATGGATTAAATTGAAATTTTTTCACGAGTAGTTAAATATACATCTATTAGAGTCCTACTTGCCATTGTGACACAATTTGACTTAGAGTTAGAACATCTTGATGTGAAAACTGCCTTCTTGTATGGTTCTTTAAATGAAACCATACATATAACTTAGCCAAGAGGATTTGAAGTAAAAGGAAAGGGGAACTTAGTGTATCTCTTGAAAAAATCTTTGTATGGCCTAAAATAGACTCCTAGGCAATGGTATAAAAGATTTGACTCTTTTATACAAGGTTTAGATTTTAAGAAATCATAATATGATCCTTATTTTTACTATAAAAGAGATGGTGAATCTTAATTTTTTTTTATCTTCTCTTGTATGGTGATGATATGCTCCTTGCTATTCATAATTCTGTTGCACTTAACTAAATTAAAGAAAAGTTGAAATCAGAATTTGAAATGAAAGATTTAGGACTAGCTAGAAAAATTTTGGGCATGGAAATAAAAAGGGATAGAATAAATGGAAAGTTGTTTCTAACACAAAAATCTTATGTTGACAAGGTAGTTAAAAGATTTTCCCTTCATGATGCTAAGCTGTTAGTCTGCCTGTATGAAATTATCTGTTGATCAATCACTTAAAACTGAAGATGATGTAGAAGAATGATGAATTGTCCCATATTTTAATGCTATTGGATCTGTAATGTATGTTATGGTATGCTTTAGACCTGATATTGCTTATGATATGAGTGTGCTAAGCATATTTATAAATGACCCATGTGAATTGCATTGGCAATACATGAAAATTTTTATTAAATATCTGAAAGGAACAAGTCAATTAGGTCTAATGTTCAAAACTAATAAATGGACTTACGTTAAAAGGTTATGTGGATTCAAATTTTGCTAGAAATCCAGATAGTAGAAAATCCAGAACTGCATATTTTTATGTCATTAATGATACATGCATTAGCTGGAAATCCTAACTTCAAAAACTGATTGCATTGTCTTCAACCAAGGCTGAATATATTGCTGCAACTGAGGCAGTAAATGAAGGGTTATGGTTGAAGGGTTTGTTAGGTGAATTAGGTCTTATAGAAAATCAAGTGGAGCTATGTTCTGATAACCAAAATTCGATTTTTCTAAGTAAAAATCCTATTTTACATGATAGATCCAAACATATAGATGTTAAATTCCATTTTATTAGAGACATTATATATAAGGGTGACATTAAACTGATTAAAATACCTACTAAGGTAAATCTTGCAGATGCTGGAACCAAGGTAATCCTTGTTAGTAAGTTTTTCGATTCTTTGAAATTAATTAATCTTGAAGAGTACTAACTTTGTTTTCTTTGCAGGTGAATAGAGAAAGTGAAGTTAGACTAAGTTTTTTGAATCCACTTATGTACTATAACAAAATGCAGCAAAAGGTGGAGATTGTAAAGATTGGTTTGCTGAATTTTGTGTGTGGCCTAGCTATTCTTTAAATGGACTAAAATGTGAGGCCCAAACTTGAAGGCCAAATTTGTTGATCTAGTAAGAACTATGATGCATTTTTTGCTATCAAATGACACTTCTCTCAGATTCATGACGCATGGCAAGTGATGGACCGTTGGATGACCAAAATCTATCACTCTCATATAAAAGGAACACGAGAAGGCTTTAGGGTTTCAGATGATTCATTTTGAGCAGCTTCTATATTCTTCAAGTTTTCATCTTCTCTGATTTTTTCAGTTATTCTCTCTTAGATCTTGTGTGATTTGTTGAAATAAATAGAAATTAGATGAATCTTGTGTGAGTTCATTATGCTGTGAGAAGTTTTTATGGTGATTGAGAATCTGAAACTGCGTGTTCTCTGAAACTCGAACTCTTTGCCTACTTTTGGGCGGTACATAGTGGATCTTGAGCTAAATCATAATGGATGCTTAATGGGTATTAGGCATTTGAAGCAGTGGCCGAACCTCGGGACCTTTGGGCTGAAAAATCTTGTCTTTTTCTGATCTTATAATTATTTTTATGTTTTCGATTTACAAATTCCAACACAAATATCTTTTCTATGTTCAACACTATCAACGCATCTTGAACAAGTGATATTAACTATCGTGAATAGTTAATTGACTAGAAACATTAATTTGCCCACCCTTCTCTTAATTTTCTTTCTGAAAACTATGGTGTTGTAATTGAAATCTTCTGGGCAAGGCAATTGAGCTAACATCTTGAGGGTATAGTTATCTTGAGGGTATAGTTTGTCTCCAGATTCTTAGCATTCTGAATATGAATTCAAGAACTTATAACCATTGTTTTCAATCTCCATAACTAGATAAAACATTTGTTATAAGACTATTTTGATAGATTTGAATTACAATAATACAAACGTAGATTGATATAAAGAATACAAAAGCATCAAACCTCTCAACTGTGTAATATGTCTGGAGAAAAGTAAAACAAAGAAGAAAAGTGGTAGCAAATAAGGCCATAGAAGTCCATAGACTGTAAAATAAGTATTAATTAATTCGGCAATCCGAATTTTTGCCTTGCTACTGCAGTGCTTCTCAATTCTCATCTTCACATTATCAAAAATCCAGTCATCTTCAAGTCCGTAATTGTCAATCTCTTTGATTAGTTTCACAATTTGTTCATCACTGTCAAGGTCGTTAAAGAGTATCTTCCTTTCTTGTAGTTCTTTCACGTCTTCGGGTTTAACAATGAGCGACTTCAAGAAATTAACATAACATGTTATAATATAGCCAGTTTCGCTTTCTGGAGACCCCTCACATGCAATCATCTGTGTAAAGAATGACTTGGAATTGATAGAGAAGAACCAAACTGGTAATTGAAGTTGCCCATAAAATATGTAGGATTTGAACTTAATATTCTTTAAACAATTTGAACTATATTTGAAGTGGATGCCTTTTGCTTTGAGATCTGTGACTGAACGAGATTGACGATTGTATTTCCCAAATTCATTTGGATTTTCTTTCCTTCCCCGCCACCATTGACATTTATTTACAGGCTTATTTCCTGCATTATCAAAGTCTTCCTCAAGTTCTTTTCCTTCATTATCCAATTCTTTGACAGTAGTCGATGCAAAGCATCCAGAAGGTGAAGTGGTTGCTTTTCATCTTCTCCAGGAATTCTTGTTACCCTGCTATCCGCAAAAACAAAGTGACTTGAGAAGTCACAAATTAACATGCATCCTTCTCCATGCATTAATTTAATCAAGAGCTTAATTACCCAGAATGGAATTTGATTCTCCAGTAAATACATATCCTGGAATGCATATATATATACAGCCATTCCAAGATGTTTAGAGAAGTGGGAAACTTTTGTATTACCTCTCAAGTACATCTCAATGATATATATAGCGAAAGATGCATCTAGAAGCATCATTTCTGCTAGTGCTCCATCATCATATGCATCTCTAGAAACCCCAACGTAACAATTTCTAATCTT